AGGACAGACTGTTTTACACGGAATGGTCAAGACTCTCTTGAGGAAATTATAGTTGAGCACAGTCATGAATGAGATGAGAGAGTAAGTTCTGGGAAAATTAGTGGGAAGGGAATTCTAGGAAGTGGAAACAGTGAGTATAAAGGTAGAACTTTTCAGTAGGTAGAACTGAATTCAGAAATTCAAGAGAAAACAGAAGGCCAATGTGGTGCAGTAGAATGACATCTAGTATTTGAAGATGAGGTAAGAGTAGCCAAATAATTTTGTATTAATAATAGATACAGTCAATGAATCAACAGAAATGATGGAACATCATGATAAAAAATATAAGAAGTATAAAATCTTCTGGAAATTAGGGGACATAACAAAGTACACTTGTAACCGAGATTTTTGGATGTTGAGTAAGACTTTTTCTGTTTCCCATAATTGAAAAGAAGAGCTAAGTAATCCCTTTCCCATGAGAAACTCCAAATAGATGCCCAAAATTGGGGTCAGACACTGCCCCCTACCAAGGGTAGGCGCTCTGTGAAAAAAAATAACTTGCTGCCCTAACAGCAACCAGCACCCAGCTCCCAATATGTATAAAGAGAAAACTAGGGAGAAGAGTGGTGAAAGTCAGCAAATTCCTAAAGAGCACAGTGTTCACAGGGAAATGTTACTCTGCTTCCTAAGGAAAAAAGAGAGATTATTTTTCTCTCCTCCTGAAGCCAAATGATGGAAGCACATTGGGAGAATCATGTGTAAAGACTGTGTGTGTGTTTGCAAGAAGGGAGATTGGCTTCTTCTTCCTCAGCTGGGTGAATGATAACCTACTGAACACGCAGATCCATCTAGCGTTGCTCTGGCAGAGAAGTATGGTGAGAGTCTTCTTGGGGAAGTTAAGCATTTGCCACCTGAAATTTGAGAGCCACCTGTGAACCAAATCAGCTGCTCACTTCTAGTCTTCAGATTTTTGAAGAAGAGGAGCTTTCTGGAGTAGTTCACACTAGCAGGGCAGGAAGGGACTGTAGTCTAGAGTTTGTTTCTGCGAGGGAATAAAAGGCCTTCTCCACCCCTCCTGGTGTTGTTCGGCTCTTGGAGGGTACAGAAGGTGATCTCAAAATGTATAAAGAACTCATACAACTCAACAACAGAAAAACAAATAACCCAACTGAAAAATGAGCAAAGGATCTGAACAGACATTCCAAAGAAGGTATACAGATGGCCAACAGGTACATGAAAAGATGTTCAACATCGCTAATTATTAGGGAAATGCAAATCAAAACTACAATTAGATATCACCTCATGCCTGTCAGAATGGCTATAATTAACAAGACGAGAAATAACACATGCTGAAGAGGATGTGAAGAAAAGGGAACCCTCATCTGCTACTGGTGAGAATGTAAACTGGTGCCGCCACTATGGGAAATAGTATGGAGATCTCTCAAAAAATTAAGAATAGAACTACATATGATCCAGCTATTCTACTTCTGGGTATTTAACCAAAACCATGAAAACATAAATGCAAAAAGATATTTGCACCCCTATGTTCATTGCAGCATTATTCACAACAGCCAAGACTTGGATGCATAAACATCTGTATATTATCCAGCATAAAAGAACTTGGTTCAAGTTAGAGTATATTCAAGCAATGATAAAAATCATCCATGGCTAGCCACACTGGTAATATACTTCTTTAGCATATTCATGCTTACGGCCATCAGATGTCTTACTGGTGTGACACTAATAAGTGTAGGAAGGACTGTGGAATAGTTTGTTGGCTGGTAAAAATGCCTGTGGTTAATTTGCTATTTTACTAGTTATGCAATGTAACATACCTATTGTAGGTTTCCAGGAGACTCAAGTTCACAAATATATTCCTCCTGATTCTGCTTCCACATTGCACAGAAGAACACAGGGAAGACAGACTGCCCTGATCTCAGACACAAAAGGGAGGATAACTCTTTGAATACATTTTCTTCACACCATACTTTAGGCTAAAAGGATCACAGAATAAAATTTATGATTTCAGAAAAACAGCAATGAAGAATGAAAGACAAACTTTTTCTCTAAACCTTTTTTTCACTCATAGAGATCAATTAATTTAAAAATGATTGACTTAGCTTTTGTATCCTACAACTCTAAGAATAATTATGGAAGAAACTTAATGCATAAAATGCTCCATTTGATGGATAATTTAGTCTAATGTTTCATTCCTCCTTCTTTCCCTGTCGTTCTTCAAATTTCTACTGAAGTGTGAGTAATATGAAATTTGATAATGTACATTGTTAATGCTCTTTGAGTAGCTGAATGAAGGCCATTAATATAGGAAGGATGTACTTATGATTATCTTTTGATGTCTTTAAGCTGACATCCACTTATCCTTTATTTACATATCCTTATCTCTTGTTTTCCTGTTTTCTATAAATTCTAGCTTACATTCATACAGTTTTTTAAAAATTCACAAAAACTCTCTTAATTTCTGCATCTACATCTTTAAGTACACATAAATGTAAGTATATAAGACCTTAGGACCATATAAAAGGATTTATTTGAATTTGGAATCCGGATTTTGGTAAAGAAAAAAAATCATGAGATTCTGTTAAAATGAGTCTGAAAAGTCTTGGCCCAAAGTTATACTGAAAAGGAATCTGTTTCCTTTTAAAGCAAGAGTATAAATAAAATATAGTATTATTAAGTCAGTATTAACATTTCATTAGTAAGAATTTCACTTTTTAAGGGCCATGTAAGAGCAGTTTAATCTCACAATCTGGAAATTTTTACTTCCTTATTGTTACCTCTTTATTTTGGGCTAAATAGTGCTTTCAAGAGAGTATTCAGAAACCTGATGCTATATATTAAATAACTTCAGGTAAATAGATATGCTATTCTTCAGTGTTAAGTGATATATTGGCCAGAATAAAAAGGGCAGATGATATGCTCTCTCTAGTCCCAAGTACAGTGTGCTTACTGCTAGAGAATGACTCCAATTCTTGGCAGCCTAACCCCACAGTTTACTGTGGATCCCGACTTCTACATCCTTTCAGATGAACCATTGGATAAATGGATGTGTAGTAGTAATAGACAGTATTTATTTGTTTTCTTTATTAAGATTTTTAGGTCTAGTCACACACCTCCTTCCTTCCCTTCTTTCCACACTTTTTTGTTGTTGTTGAGGAAGATTTGCTCTGAGCTAACATCTGTGCCAATCTTCCTCTGTTTTTCAGTATGTGAGCCACCAGCACAGCATGGCCACTAACAGAGTGGTGTCTGTCCGCACCAGGGAACTGAACCCGGGTGCTGAAGTCAAGTATGCTGAACTTAAACACCAAGGTGGGCCCTCCACACATATTTTTGAGAGCCCCTATGTTTAGGAATAGAGTTACTGTCTGTTAAAAATTTGGTCTAGTAGAGTTGAGGTATAAGTAAACAAAAAATTCTAGTGCAATACAGTAAGTGTTATGATACAGTGAAAGCACAGAGGAGAAACACCTAATCTAGTTTATGGGGATTGGGGAAGGCAATTTAAAGATTATACCTGACATAAATACACAGATATTTGCATACACATATGTGAACATTTTTTTAAATATATTACTTACTTTCCAGAAATAAGACAGAAATAATTCAATGTTGGCTGATATTCCTGTCTTCAGTATAATGAAAGAAATATATTGTATCAATTGAGGTTTAATATTTGTAAATGACTTGAGTTTTCCAGAAGAACAATGCCATCATAATTTTAAGGTATAAGTGCTTTTCTAATCTCTACTATATTTCCAACAGTTGACTATTAGTTAATACCAAAGGAAAACTTTCATTACATGTATGGTAGAGTGGAAGTGTGTCAGATTACTTAAAAAAATATAGATGTTAGTCCTGGTTTGGTGGTTCATAAATTATGAGATTTTGACCAAGTCATTTAACTTAAGTAAACCTCAGTTTCCCAACAGTACTTGCACATTCTAAGTGCTCAGTGAACATGATTATCTGTACTCTCTTCTGGGAACCACATCCAAATCCTAAATTCTGGATGGTGTGACCCGGATCCTGGCTCCAGGCATGGTACCTGACTGGTGTTTGTCAATTACTGTAGTTTAATGCTATTCTCCTCCACCAAAGGTTGACTCAGAAAGGGATTAATTAGGGTTACTGGAGGACTAAGGCAATAAGCACATGGGATTTCCTTGGTCAGTGGGAATGGTTTAGGTTGATACTATTCAAAGGCTCCAGACCTGAGGAAAGAAGTGGAAGGGAGTAGACTGACTTGCAACCAATAGAGAATTAGCTAGAGGCCAAAGTGGACAAGCGAAAGGGCAAGAGCAAAGAAAAAAAGAAAAAGGGAACTTGGGAATAGAGATAGGACCTGATCAAACCATTTCTGAAATTTAAATTCTCTCTGTAGACTTCAATTTTAAGTGTCTTTGTATTTGAAACAGCTTGAGTAGGCTTTCTACTGTTTGTGACTAAAACATATAGGATATAATCTGAATGTTGGCTTAAAAAGATCAATGGTTAAGTTATTCAATGCTTTCTACATTCATCACTACGACAAAAATGTCAAATTATAAAGATAAAACTCAGAATGCACACTGTATGGAACATATAAGGATAATATCTCCTGATTTCCTTTCCTTCCTCTGTCTCTTTCTTCCTATCCTCTTTCCCTGTAAGAGAGAGAAGTAATTAAAACAAACAAAAAGTCACCTCAGTTTTTTTCAGTGGAAACATGAGGAGGCTGAGCAAGATGATTTAAAATTGTTTTTCTAGATTTAAACATCTGACTTTTATAAAAATTCTGGCTTATGGTAACAATTTCAAATTATTGTTATTTTATGACTTAAAAGCTTTTAAGTTCCCACTCCTAGAAAGTGCTTGTAAATTATGTTCTCTTGCTCCTTATAATGTTTGACTTTGTCCTACTAGTCACATAAACAGTTCCCACCACACTAGCCAAGACCTGTCAGACTGGTTCTGTTTGGATCATCAGTAAGTTCTTTCTTCACCTTACTCCAGCCCACGAAGTTGCTGATAGAGTCTGGATGCACACACTTGATTGCAGACCTCCGTCTCCACAGGACTCTTACTTGCTGGTCAGCAATGTATCGGTGAGTTCCTTTTTCCTTTTCTTAAGTTAACTTGTAGTTTAAAAAGACACAAACCATACTAAGGAATGTGTAGATCTCCAGTTTATTATTTGTTGAATATAGAAAAATACTTTTGATAATTTACATGAAATTATGCCAAGAAATAGATTTCTATTCTTTCTATATGAGTGTGCCCTATCCTCTTATGTCTCATACCAAAATGTTTTCTATGTACTTTTGGAAGAATTCAACAAAAGATAAAGGTGTTTGACACCTGTCTTTTAGTTTGTTTGTTTCTTTGTTTTCAAGAATAACAGAACGTGTTTTTAGCCTGGGCATTATGTGTCTTATTAAGAAAATACTCATTTTTGGAAGTATACATGAGAAGAAAAATCTGAAATCATGCAGATCCAAATTACATGTGTTTCTGTAAGCAAATAGCTTAAATTTTAAAAATTGTAGATGTTTTGAAAGAATAAGAAACAATTTAAGAAGACAATAGGATTAGATTTTTATAATTAGATTTTTAAAATAAATCCAATGATGTACCTGATCAAGATCAACTTCTCTAATAGGTAAGTCATAATTATTTTGAAATGGTTTTCTTTCAATGGGAGAAACTAAACAGTAACAAAGTTTTAGTGTGCTAATTTGGAATCTGAAAATAATTTTATGTTCAGATTAAAATTTTATTGTTTCTAATTGATATATTAGCATATCATTTTTAATTAATTTCTACTTTGAAAAAAAGTTTGAAAAATGTCAAACTTCCAATGGAATCTAAATAGGGGAAAACACTCAGACTCTGTCATTGATAGAAAGAAAGCCCTAGAGTACTTGTTATGAGAGGTTTAATACTTTTCTATACATGTCAATGAAGCAACTAAGAGATACAGATATTACAGATTTATTCAGACCTCTTAGGGCTCCCTGCCTTTTGCAAACACGTCTCTATAATCCATGATGGTTTTGTGTCCTACCTTTTTTCTTGCATTATCTTTAAGAATATTGCTATAGAAAACAGTGCTTTTATTTAAACATATAATCTCTGTAAAACTCAAGATACCAAATAGATTCCAGGCTTTGTCTATGCTAGAACTGAGTGAGTCTGAAATTTGTGCAGAGGACCTATAATGTGGGGGTTGAATTTTTCTGAGTATAGTCTCTAATTTGAAGCAAACGATGTACTTATTTTTTAGTCCTGCTTCAGAGTAAATGGAAGGTACCTCTCAAGGAAAAAAATTAAACAAACAAAAAGCACTTTCCTGATCTGAAAATTGCCTAAAAAGCAAAGCACATCTATGTTTGAGTGGGCCTAGGAGATGTTGAGAGAATGGACTAGAGTGGAAAGGGATTAAATTTACCATGCACATTTGTTGGAATAAGTGTACCAATGGGAATGCTTTGATGAAAGGGGTATAATTGAAATGGTGGGCTATATGAAGGCAATTTCTTTTAAAGGACACTGGTTCATAACAGGGAAGGCATATACATAAGAAATGGAGAGCTTCATCAAATGACATGCTTCTTCCTTGAAAAATTTCTGATAACTTCCTCCCCCACTTCACCTGTTGTAAATGAGAACCACTATTTTAGAATTTAAGGGTAAAAAGAGATTTGGACCAGGGAAATGCTGCCATTTCTCCCAAACTCTTATGTTAGACTATTCTTTGAGCATGAAAAGATCAACCTGTGAATTTTATAAACACACATGCAGCAGAAGGTTAAAGAAAACTCTATCAGAAATAAGTTTATAGGGTAGAGATTTGAGAAGAGAAGGATATATTTATTGGTGATGGTGATGCATGGTAATTATATTCACCAGCAACCACTGACAACAATTAAAGGTAAGCATACCAAATTTATAGACATTAATAGCCACATACATTTAGATAGATGAAGGCGAAATGAGCAATACCAAATGAAACAAAATGGACAACTTTAGTTTTTACTCAGTACGGTAAGAACTGTCAAAGTATGGCCCATGGACTCCCTGCTTTAGATTCACTGGGTGCTTATTTAAAGTAGAAAAGTTCAGTTCTCATCCCAGAAATTCTAATGAATCTCTGGTTGAGGCATGGGAACCGTATTTTTAAAAGTCACACAAGGTAATTCTTATTTGCACTAAAATTTGAGAAGAACTTATACAGTGTAAAGCCATAAAAAAGGAAGGAACTTGGAAGATGGAAAGAAATTAAAGCAGAAATGAAATAGGTCAGCTGTTAAAAGAGGTAGTCCTTTGTTTTACGTAAATTGGTATGATTATATCTTAATGGGAGGTGCTCTCTCCCTAGTCACCTTTCCCTCCGAGGGAGAAGAGTACTCATTTGTGCAACATAGTGATGATTAAGGAGGAGAGGATAATTTCAGAAGCTATGGGAAACTGAAGGGAGGATGCAAACAGGATTTGGGTAGTGGGTGTCAAACAAGGAAGCTGGTCTCATTTAGATCTTAAAAATCTGTTTATAAGGAAAATCTCAATGTAAAACTAAGCTAGCAATATCGCCCCCCCTAAAATTAGTTGATAGTGATATTGGAGGCCATTCTACTGAGATTTAGATCCAGAGTTGCTATATGATCCTGCTCCAGCTGTTGAACACTGGCTCTCACTTCTTCAGCTAACATCAGCCCTGGTCAATGTAATATCTTTTAGTGAGTTCTCATTATGTACTAAGTTCTGTCTGGCAGAAACTATCTGTTGAGCACCTGTTGTGCATTTTGTAAAATGCTCTCTCATTTAATTTTGGCAATACCTTGAGAAGCAGTTATTGTTATCACTCCTTTAAAAGACGAAATAACTGTAGCTCAGTTTGGTCAGGGTTAGTACCTTTTGGACCTAGAATCTGACCTTGGCCTTTCTGGCTCTAAAGTCTACACTCTTTCTACTGTAACACATTGTCTATGATGTGTGGGGAGCTAAAAGAAGGATTTTTGGGCAGTTTGCACTCAAACAGAGAAATGGAAAACATGCACCTGTGCATATACACACACAGAGAAAATGTGAACATATAGGCAAAGAAACAGATCATATACAGATTAATATGAAATAATGTACATATATGCTGAAGGTGGTAGTATAATTTTACTTTAATTTATAGGTCTTTAAAAACATTTTAAAGAATGCACAGACTGTCCTTATTTAATTTTTTTAAACCTGTCTTTGTATTTAAAGAAGACAAGAATGTGACCTAACTTTTTTGCGCTATCTCAAAGGTGATCAATGACTTCAGTTACATCACCACTGTTTTCTAAAAAAGATTACAACATTTGCTATTGTGTGAAAATCAAGTTCATCTTAGTGGGGAATTTCGTGGAAGGAATTCATCAGTCTGTAGGATCTATAACCATCTAACAACGGACCTTTTTATTCTTTCATTGTTGTCTGCTTTTCTCCAAAAATATGCCATTGCTTCAATAAAAAGAAGGGAGAAATAGAAACATTCAAGAAAAAAGCAACATCATGTGCTTCAGTATCAGCACTGAGAGTCATAAGCATGCCTGATGGCTTTAGTGCTTGAGGATGGGGGGAGTTGGGCAGTTGTGGATCAGGTCTTCTAAGATGGTAGGTGGTGAAATGGATGCTGTGGCTGTGTTTCATGGCCATGTCAGGGTTAGGGTTTAGAGGAATTTTGCCAAGAACTTCTCAAAGCACCCTCTTTTGGACATATTCTCATTGAAGATGGTGGATGAGAATTGTGAAGCACGCTCTCACAGTTTCAGGCATAATTTAATAGGTTTGAAATGAGGGGATTAGAAAGTAGGAAAGTTTTAAGAGGTTGAGAAAGAAAAATGGGCTGCAGCAACACGAGTCATGCCAGAACCTACAAGCCCAACCTTCTTCCATGTACATACATGGTCTGCATGGTTGAGAAACTTCTGAGATTTTAGAATAGTAATTCTGAGATGATAGAACTAATCCTAGGGGAATCCAAAGTGCCATATAGTCATCATTAAATTCTATCTTGTAACCTTTCATCTGAAGATGTCAGATGATACCTCTTTTTTTGAAGTTGCAAAAGCAGATACAGGGTTTAACACTTAGTTTATAGTCAAATGTGTGTCAGTGTAGAGCAAAAAATAATTGCTATCACTTGTTTCATACATACTATGTGCGAACTATTGTCCTAAAATATCATGCACATTTAATCTTTATAACAATCTATGGTTATATTATTATACCCACTTTATAGATGAGGAAACTGAGGCTCAGAGAGGTAACATTTTTGCCCCAGCATAATAAATGGCAAAACTGGGAATTAACCTATGTCTATCTGACTTTAAACTTATGCTTTTAATCACAATGCTATACCATCATCACAATGTCTTCTTTATCTGCCTAGATGGTTCTACTGCTATGTTGATTTAGCTGTCTTATCATGTTAAAAGACATAAAAGTTACTTTTACAAGGAACAATGTTATTATTGAATAGATAGTCTTCTAAATAGACCTCTGAGGCTGCTAGACGGGAAACATTCCTGTTTGTGTTCCATAAAGTAAGGGATACAACATTCAAAGATTCGGTAATTTGCATGTAGTCACAGGAATGAATGAGTCAGTTAATACTAGAGAGAGAATCAGTCCTCCCAGTTCACTTGTATACTGAGTCCAATATTGTCAGGTGGAAGGGTTAAATTAACACAGGTGACTACATGACCTAGGAAATATTATTATTGTATAGTTATTATCGTTACCATTTGAATTTGTATAGAAATACATGCCCTTGTTAAAATTACTTATTGTACATTAAAATATTGTCAGGTCATATTTAGCAAAATTCAGAGAGGGTACTTATGGTAGGAACATATATTATATATATATGCGATTCCAACATACATCGTCTCATTTGATACTTATCAACAACCCTGTGAGGCAGACTCTTTTAATATTACCATGACTTTACAGATAGAGAAACCAAAGATTAGGAAGATGAGACTGCCAAATCTCCGAGTAAGTGATTGGTAGAGCTGGAGTTTGAGCATACGTGTTCTGACTCCAGTCCTGTGTTGTCTAGTACTCCCTG